ACACACACACACACACACACACACACACACACACACACACACACACACACACACACACGCGTGGACTCGTAAAGAACAAGGGGCTCAGAAGTCGTCAAGAACTTACTCTTGTTCCTTCTTCAGACATGGTCATTGCCAGAACAGAGATGACATCCGCCAGATATCTCTGCAGCCATCACATAGCAACAAAATGGCATACAGTCAGCTCCTAGCATCCTGTGCAGCAAGCCACCAGTAGTTTGAAGTCCTAATATGAGAATTGATCACAGTGGCGTAGCTGTCTTTAACTTTTATCTTTTGTTCAGAGAAGTGACCTCAAAACAAGCTACTTAGCTATAGCCATTGTAGTAATTTAAAGCCCTAGTAACTTAAAGCCTATAGACGAACCCCTACAGGCTCTTAGTTTTCTGTCTTTCTTTCCCCCTTAGTTTTCTTATCTTTCTTTCGTTGTCTGAAGAATCAAAAGACTTCCCTTTTCAGGTCCCTTTTTCTGATTTCTGTTTCTTTCTTTGTTTGAAGAATGAAAAAGACCCCTTTTTAGGGCCCCGGCGGCGCCTGAAACAAGAAGGCTACTATAAGTTGGCACCAGCTCAGCACCTGCACCTGCTGTACATGCTAATTTACTCTAGTCCACGTATCACAGCTAGCTACACATCGGACAAAGAACTAAAAAATAATAAAAACAAAACTTATACAGAAAATCACCAGAGATTGCGAGCTTGAAGACCCCAGTTGCTGTAGAGGGCCACCCACTTTTCCGAAAATTAGTCCAAGGTAGCAACAGAGACTTCCACAGCGAAGGAATACACCAACCATGCACAACCTGGGTCCAAACGGTAAAAGAAAACGAGTGCAGAAACTCCCTTTTTCAAGGGGCCAACTGGCAGTGGTACACGAGGAAACAGGTGCAAACGGGTCATCCACTTACACTTCTTTCCTGACAAAGGGAAAATCAATCTGGATCACGTAAGAATGAGATGAGAAACCGATACCGACTGCCGACACAGTGGTGGTCCCCACAACAATATAACACCTAGCCAACACAACTAACTTTCCTGCATGCATCTACATCAAAGATCTCTGTTTGCCCAACTTTGCAGGGATACTGATCTGTTTCGCTGACAAGAACTCCAGGGCCGTGTGCCTCTTGCATACTATTTTTCCCTTTCATACAGGCCAGTGAGCATCTTCACCTTGTTCTCCACGTCCACCATGGCCTCGTAGTACTCCTTGAGAGTCTTGTAATGTGGCCGGAGGAACTTCAAGGGCTTTGGAACTGAGGTCATCGAGCTGGTTGCACTGCGGATCTCCTTCCTGCAAAAGGACAAACCACGGTAAGACACTCAGGGCTACTGATTGGAGGACTTCCAACCATTTTGGTAAAGGCAAAGGGTAAAAGAGGCAAAAGGTGTGTCAAAGGGTGTCCGAAAGATTGCTTTCGCTTTTTTTTGCAGTAAAATCCAGCTTATTGAGACGAAGTACATGCTCCTACGATGGGAAATGCGTTGGCAGCCCTCGGCCGCTCAAAGACACCATGACACTGCGCCACACATCCGAACGGAATGAATGTTCGAGTCAAAGTCAACGAGCAAAAGAAGAGAAGTGCTACCATGTTCACCCGAACAGAACACTCGGTCATTATCACTGTATTTCGTGCAGCTTTTAGTTTGACTACAGCGATAAGGCGTTCCTTCGATTGGGTGCAGAGAACGATCAGTCTCCCCTATAACCCCATCTACCTCGGAAAATGGGAGAGGGAGACAGCAGGATTTGTCCTCCACAGTCAGATGGCACACAGGCACAGTTAGTGACAGCAAAATGAGGATCGGCAGGGTTACTCAATCAAAAGCGGAGGTGGACTGCGGTCACAGCCATTATAGAGTTCAGGTATAACCACAGCTGCTAGCGACAGAAGAGACGACAGCACAGCTCGCAGCGACAGAGAGAGAGATCCTTCTGCTGCACCAGACAGTAGCTGGTGATCTCATCTATCACAGAGATCCTTCGGCAATCGGGTAAAGACATTCTTTTGCTTGATTGAATAGGCAGAGCTTCTATTTCGTGATGATGCGATTTCAGCGATTGCACAGTGTCCCACCCACCTGCCAGTGAGTTCCATTATTCCCACTCCTCTACCCCGATCGATCTTAACTTCCCCTTTAACCAATCACCTTCTCTGACCACAAATGGTTAACAGGTACCCTCGCTTTTCACCCCTAGGGTAACCTTCACCACCCTGAAAAGTGTATTACCCTTCACCACCCTGAAAAGTGTAGTACCCTTCACCACCCTGAAAAGTGTAGTGGGGATCATGTTTTTTTGTTTTTGTTTTTTGTTTTTTTTTTATCTGTTTTGTTTCTGGTCAAGGTCTGTATGTGCCAAGTTTGGTGTTTATTGGGTTCCTGGAGATGGTTGTTGGCAGTGCTGAAAATTGTGAAAATCGACAAATTGAAATGTTGGTGAAATTTCATGAAAGTGCATTTTTGGCTTGCTGTTTTATATGTTTTCAATTTTTTTTTTCGGTTTTTTTTTTAACAATATGTTAGTCAGAAGTGCACTCTACAGATTGGTGTAAATTATGGTTAAAATGGCCCTTTGGTTTTCTTATAAATGAGGGTGAAAATTGGGGGGTCGGTTAACCTTCTCTCTTTCTGACACCTACCATCTTCACCCGAATTGAACGCCCGGTCATTCCAGCTGTATTCGGTGCAACTTCCAGTCCAGATAAAGGCAATAAAAATCGGGCGTTCTTTTCAGGTGAAGACGGTAGGGATTACACGTCATTTCACTCAAGTACTCCCCCGTTCCCCCCTTCAAACACGAAAGACATGGCTGGAATGCACCTGCTACCTTCTATGAACACACAATACTCGAGCATAACTCAATCATTGAGAAAATGTCCCCTTCTCCTGCGTCCATACTACTCTGCAAGTTATTTTCATCTTATCTGCAATTGATTGAAAATCCCGCTGCTCAATGTTAGACATCAGACCTTAAATGACATTCCTCCAAGAGAGGACACCGAAGAGAGAGAGAGAGAGAGAGAGAGAGAGAGAGAGCCAGTGTCTAGGTCGCTGCTAGCCTGAGAGGGCGGGC